GATCATTAGGAAGGACTTTAACACCGGATCTTTTTTTTTAATAATTTATTTATTTTTATTGATTTGCTTTGGTGTTTTGCCTGCATGAATCTCTGTGTGAGGGTGTTATATATTGGAATTACAAGTTGTTAGCTCTCGTGTCGGTGCTGGGAATTGAACCCAGGTCCTCCAGAAGAGCTGTCAGTGCTCTTAACCGCTGAGCCAGGTCTCCAGCCCTAGCACCGGATCTTATCTGCAACTTTGGGTACAATGCCTAGAACATTCCACAGTCTCCATATATGCATCTGAGAAGCAGAGCAGTGATTCCCTCCCCTGAGAGACTCCAGCTCAGCAAGACTAAGTCTCTGAAAGGAGATCCCGACTTTTCTTGTAAATCAGCAACTCTAGTAACTCAAACCACAGATGGTACCGAATGGGAAATGTCCATGGCCTAAAAACAAACATGTTTTCCAGCTTACTGCAAAGGCAAATTTATTATCCATAAACACCATGACTTATGTGTTAAGCATCACTCCAGAAACTGCCATCATCCCCCAGCGTGTGACCAATGTGGCATTCTAAGCCAAGGACCGCTAAATCTTTTTGAATCGTGCACTTTGTCCATAAAAAAGAAAAGAAAAACAAAACAAAACTCTAAGAACACCATGCTAATATCTGTGTATGTATTTATAGCTAAGTGTACTCCCTACTACCTTTAGCCAATATCTCAAATGTTGGCACAGTATTTAGACTAGCATTCATCATTATGATAGTGAAATAATACCCGTATTTTAAGTGGCAACCTTGATAATTTTCTCCATTTTGCCCAGTCTCATTATATGACTGTGGTTTTGTTTTGTTTTTTTTTTTTTTTCATTTTGTACTGACCTAATGTTCCAGTCAGGAATAGAAGAATGAACTCTGCCGTGTGTGTGTGTGTGTGTGTGTGTGTGTGTGTGTGTGTGTGTTGCTTCTGCAATAAAATCTGCAAATATCCCTAACAAGGGAGCACAGACTAAACCCCGCCTTCCTTAACTCTGACTTATAATCACATATGGAATCACATATCCAAAACAAGTGTCACAAGATAAAAAAAAAAAAAACATTGGCAACAATAGGCTTCTGAATGTGCAAACACCAAAACTTAATGCAAAACCAAACATCTAATTTGTCTAAAGTGCTCCTCGCTGTGCTCATTCAGGCTGCACCATCATCATGCCCCTTTAATGGGTCTGAACACACAACATGCACACATGCCACACAACAGCACTGCCTGACTTGAGACTATCACATGTACCAGCTGTACTGTTTTTGGAGTACTCTCCCAGTTCTTTTTTTTGGGGGGGGGGGGGTGGTTTCGAGACAGGGTTTCTCTGTGGCTTTGGAGCCTGTCCTGGAACTAGCTCTGTAGACCAGGCTGGTCTCGAACTCACAGAGATCTGCCTGCTTCTGCCTCCCGAGTGCTGGGATTAAAGGCGTGCGCCACCACCGCCCAGCTGTACTCACCCAGTTCTATGCTCTCACAGAAACATCCTGGCTTATAGAAAAGAACGACTTCTAGTATTTCCTACTATTATTTTTCAGCAATGAGTTTCAAAGTAATGAGGCATGCAAGCCTAGGGAACAGCTTAACAAACTGGGACTCCACTTAGTTTGGACTTTGCACACACTCCTCTCTGAGCAATGCACCTAGCAACCTGTTAGCACCAGCCTAGGATCCCACCTGCACAGACTGCATGTATACCAGCTTTACTTTTTAACTGGAGCGATTAACATATATCATTACAATTGATTGATTTTTTTTTTATATTCAGTTATGTGACACAGCACAAGTTGTCAGAGGACAATTTGTAGGAGTTGGTTCTCTCTCCGGGTCCTCAGACTTGGTGGCAAACGTTTTTAATTACATAGGCCCTGTATAATTGCTTCAAACAATGGAAACATACTGCTTGATAATGCCCTGCTACTACTCAAGATAAACTGGAAAACATCTGGAAACTACGGGCAATGGATTCATCCACTCTAGACAACCGACTGTTACTCAGGCCATCACTAACTCTTATCCCAAACTGTCTCATTAGCTTAAGCTTAGGTGTGATAAAAGGTCTCCCCAGGGAAACTCTAAGAGTGTTAGATATGTCATGCAAGTACCAGTCCAGGGTCTTGCACATGCTAGACCAGTACACCCCCAGATCTTGGTTTTACAGGACAGGGTTTCACTCTCGCTCAGTCTGGCCTTCAACTCACTAGGAAGCCCATGCTGGACTCAAACTAGAGAGTCCTACCTCCGTCCCCAGAGTGCTGGGATGTAGATGTGCCACCACCTACAACCAAAAATACATTTTCTAGCAAGATGGAGGGCTTAAGGGACCAAAGTTCAAAATTTCAATATGTTGATGATGACCACATAAAGTAGACAGATTCTCCCCCAAAGAGCAAAAGAATCCTTCATCAATGAATTTTCGCAGTTTTCATGTCCTTGAAGAGTTACTGAAATGTTAATAAAGTTCCATAAACTCTGGTCTTATTCTACTCCTATTAATCCAGGATGACTTCCAAACCCGAAGGTAATGAAGAAGCTTGCAAAAGGTGGACTCCAGGACCTACACATGTGGTTAAGGTCCTTGGGGGGGAGGGGTCTTGGGTGTGGATTACACTTTGTATTCTCAAGACATGTATTTGCTATAAAATAACTTGAAGAAAAATATATATCTATTACTTGACTTGAAACTTTGGGGGGGAGGGGAATTATTTGGTCTCTCTCTTTTTTTTTTTTTTTTGACAAATCTTTGAACTCCTGGGCTCAATATCCTCCTGCCTCAGCCTCCAAAGTGGCTGTGACTACACGTGCTTACCATGGCATCTGACCTAAAAATATAATTCTGCATATATATAATTAAAACTCTAGATTGATAAAGGTTCAGTGGGTGAAGGCACTTGCTGCCAAGGCTGATGATGCCCTGAGCTGAATTCCAAGGACCTACATGGTAGTGACAACTCTAAATTGTCCTTTGGCCCAGACACCGAAGTCCAGTTACACGCAGAAACACACACACTAAATAAATAAATGTATTTTTTAATTTAAAATACTAAAAGTATACACCTGTCGTTTCAATTTTTTTAATACTTTTCAAATACCTACAGTAGGTATAATAATCCTGGTGGCTTCAAAAGTCTACCTCTTGGTCCACATTAGTTAGTGGGGGAAAAAAAGAAACATGTCATCGTGAATTCTGTGATCCTGACCCGTGGTTGAAGGAAGGGTTCAGAGGCCCGACATCCAGACGCAATGAACGCTCTCCACCTAGTTGGGATGCCTTCACGTATTTGCACGCAATTGCCAGAGCTCAAACAATGAGCAATCCCTCATCTGTGCATTTTATCATGAACCAAGTATCATTAAAAAAAAAAAAAAAAAGATATGCAAAAAGAGGGTGCTAAAATGCAGCATGCCAGACAGGGAAGTGGGAAATGGGGAATCCGCTCTAGAAATGCTCCCTGTGTGTTGTTTGTGCAACAGTGCATTCAAGAACGGGCCCTGGGGGATGCTCGCAGGTTCTGCCACCTTGTCTGTGCGACACACACACACAAACACACACAAAGATGATGATGATTATAATGATGATGATGACGATGATGAGGGTTTATGCTGCACCCAAAGCACGGAGCCTGAGCCCGTAAGCGGCCAAGCACGTGCCGGGTTTTCTCGGCCACGGCGCTGCCCGGGGCTGCCGGGCAACTCGGGGCTGCGGGGAACCCTCACACGGAACAGCGGGTCGCGGGGGTCAGAGGCTGCTCCTCCCGGGCCCGGCCCCGCCCGACTGACCTGTGACGCTAGCCCGGGTGACGCGCTGCACCACGGCCTTCATGGCGGCGGCTGTGGCTACTCGGACAGGCCGTGTGGTCAGACCTTGCGACTCCACCGGCAGTTCCTCGGCCGGCGCCCTCTGTCGGTAACACCCGGAAGCGCTCCGGGAGGACCCATTCCTCTGAGCTGCGGCCCGCCCACGTCGGCCACACCTACCCACCAGTTGGCCCCGCCCATGTCAATCTCACTCACCTGCCACCTATCCATAACCTCGCCCCTCCGTGGTACGCCCCGCCCCATCCACAGCTGAGCTCCATGCTAAATCCTTGGCGTAGTCACGAACTGCCAGCTCGGACACCACGATGCCCAGACACACTTTAATTTCTGCTCTAGTTTCTTTCTCCCTCAACTTTGCCCTAAACCCTTTTCCTCCGATCTCAGGTTTCCTCAAACTCTTCACTAGTTCTCCAGCCTCAGCAAAAAAGCCTATTGCTAAAGAAAAGCATATGCTGTTAAAGTAACCATATAATTATAAAACTATTATTTTATCTTAGACACATCACTATGGTAAATAGGTATGAGTCTAGAATTCTAATTCCTTCCTAATACGAATCTAATACTTACCCCATCACAGGGTTGTTAGGAAATTTGAATGAAATAGGCTGTAAGGGAGTTTAGAAGGTTACAGCGAGCTGTAGATATTACTCTAGCAAGTTTTCATTACTAAAAAAAAATCTTTGTAGCCTAGTGGCAGAACACGTGTTAATTATAAAAAACAATAAAGAGAAGGGAGGGAGGGAGGGAGGGAGGGAGGGAGGGAGGGAGGGAGGGAGGGAGGGAGAGCATTCCAGCAACTGGGAAGACACAGAAGAGTGTTTTAGTCCATGAATTAAAGACCACCGGTGTGAACAATAAAATGAGACTCTTCGTAGAGATAGAAATGGGGATATCTGAAAAGGTTCACCTGTTTCAGGATGCCTTCACTTTGAAGGCCTCTATTAGGATTGATAGATTCAGAAAAGCATTTGATAAAAAGCAAGGAGCTGTTATTTGGCCAAAAGACGCCAAGGAATGGTGGCCCCGTGTCTGTGATGCAAGCATTCTGGAGGCAGAAGTTCAAGGCCAGCCTGGGGTACAGAGGGAGACTTTGTATTGTTGTCAGGTACCATTAGAGAAAACTACTCAGACATGGGTTTAAGCCAATGGAAAGTCTTTATTCGATGGCCGGCAACTACACTCGGTGTTCAGGATCCCAATGCAGCCCTGATCCTTTGTCAGGGCAACATTTGTGGATTTTTTGTTGTTGTTTTTGTTTGTTTGATTCTTACAAGCATTGGCATTTTGCCCGCATGTATGTCTGTGTTAGGGTGTCAGGTCCCATGGAGCAGGAGTTGCAGACAGTTGTAAGCTACCGTATGGGTGCTGGGAATTGAACCTGGGTCCTCTGGAAGAGCAGCAAGTACTCTTAGCTGCTGAGCCATCTCTCCAGCCCCATCAGTAAAAATTCCAAAACTAAAATTTCAGGGCCAATGCAATGGTTCAGCAGGTACCCAATGACCGTGAGTATGAACCCTGGAACCACAGTGGAAGGAGACAACTCCTACAGACTGTCCTCTGACCTCCATGAACACATCACAGCACGCATATACATGCACACACGTGTGCACGCACACAGGCAGACACATGCCATTCACAAATAAATAAATGTAATTTTAAAAATGCAATGGTCTATATCATCTTTCAGGCATGAAAACAGAAATCCACCTCTCAAATTATGTGTTCAGTTCCCTCAAGAATTCATCAGTTGCACAGTAATGCTTATATTTTATAATATTTATTTATTTATTTATTTATTTATTTATTTATTTATTTACTATGTAGACAATATTCTGTCTGTGTGCATGTCTGCAGGCCAGAAGAGGGCACCAGACCTCTTTACAGATGGTTGTGAGCCACCATGTGGTTGCTGGGAATTAAACTCAGGACCTTTGGAAGAACAGGCAATGCTCTTAACCACTGAGCCATCTCTCCAGCCCCTGCTTATATTTTATAAAATCAAATTAATACATTCTTTCCACAAGCACAGAATGAAAATCAAGGCATCTGTCAAACACGGAGCCCAGTCCTTGTTTTCCGAATTCAGCAGTTGATCACGATTGGGGCCCAGGCCCACCAATCCATGACTTCAGACGATCCATGATCCTCTGAGTGACTGGGATGAAACCGTCTTTATACTTTACATATGTCCGCACATAGGGCTTGTCAATGGAATCACTGTCAGAGTCTTCGAATGTAATAAAAGGTGTTTCATCCCTCCAGCCATCCTTCTGTTCTTCTCCATAACCTTAAAAAAAAAAAAAAAACCTGAATTATTAACTTAGACATCAGTCATTAAAGTCGTGGACATAAAACAGGGCATGATTCTGCCACCAGATGTCTATTGCCATTATCTTTCTTTTGGAAAGAAAAATCAGAGACAGAAAAGGGCATACATGAAGACCATGATACGTGTGAACTTTCAAACTGCTAACAACCTTCATGACCAAGTAGAATTTCCAGTTTTTACACAATGGCTTTATTGAGATGTGCCTAACATATCATACAAATTCCTTTTAGAAAGCAGTGATTTTTAGTCTATTCAGTCTGAGCAACCCAGCACCACAACTGATTTAGAGTATTTTCAGGCACTAAGAGTCACCTTCCATCCTCTCTAACACGCCAGTCCCTAGCGCTTACACCAACTGACTTTTCGTGTTCCTTCCATTTCCAGCACGTATTGGAAGGTTCAGGAGTTCCTTGTCCACCCAATAACTGGGTTGATTTTAATACTTCTTGGTTGTTGTTAAGGCCTGAACCGGCTTGCTCGCCGTACGCGACAGGGTCTCAAAGAAATGAGCAGCATTCGAGCCTCTGGGAGCCACCAGGCACTACACAGGTGAATTCACATAGTCCCAGTGAACATAGGGACAGTGTTCATCAGTAAGACAGATCCAGTTGGCAATCCTTAATAGTTCCTGGAGGAGTCTTTCTCTCTGCAAATTCCATCACCGTAAATTACCTAAGTACCCGCTAGCAGCAGTTTTGCACTACCCCAGGGTTCAAGTAGGGAAGGTCGCTTCGGTGACTTCCAGAGCGACAAGCCAGAAGCGGAGGCTGCGAGGCCGATCTCGCCGGGCGGAGGAACCCTACCTTGCTCCTTCGGTGTCCGTGTAAGGATAATCACCGAACCCAGCACCCACCAGGAGCCTAATGCGTAGAGCATAGCCATCCGCCGGTACCAAAGGAGGGCCTGTTCAGGACGCATGGCTCCACAAAGTGAGCGACCGAGTTCGCGAGGAGGGCGGCCTTCCAGTCTGTTGCAGCAGCCACCAATAGGTGGCCAGACCTACGCTACTTCCTGTTCCGACCGCGATGCATTTAGGGACTAGTAGTCCACAGTTAATTGAGGCGCGTTCCGAAGTTATCTAGGGGACCACAGTTTAGAATCTCAGCTGCCAGCTGGCGACTACACCGTATACTATGTGATGGGAGAAGATGGCGACTTGAAACATTCTCTCTTGTAATGCATGACCTCCGTCTGATAAGACGGCATTTAAAATAGTTGACTTCATTTCCTTTAACAACTGTCAGATTTTGGAAGACACTGTTTCCGCAACTCGCTTTTCTCCTACATACCTATCTAGAACCCCATGTCTAGTTCTTTGGAGCTCCCTTGGTCCTGTCCCAGTTACAACCTATCACCCACCACTCCGGCTTATCACCCTATTGGTTTTCATCCTCCTTCATACAAAAGTGTACACGTCTCAAAAAAGAAAAGCCTTCGAGTCCATCAACTGCTTTTCTTATTCAAACACTTTGTCCGCACGCTCGTAGACCGGGGTAGACTGAATAACCGGAGCGGGCTCGTGCACCTGCGTTGACCATTTCCGACCTAACTCGAACTTGACTTCTAAAGCAATTGACACCTTTGACCCTACCATCCTTCCCTGGTGGCTTCAGAAGCATTTTCCCTGTTATCGTCCCGGGCTCCTTTTACATTTATGTTTACTCTGTAGAAATATATACTTATAACATTTAACTCAAAAAAGATTGTGTGTTTAAAGCTAAAAGCTAAAATTATAAACCTAGAAGCAAGCCAAAAGAAAAATCTTTGCCATCCTGGAATGGGCGAAGATTTCTTGGAATACAAAAAGCATGAACCACAAAATGAAAGCTGATTAATTGAACCTAAAAGTCGTCGCTGGGAAAAATGAAAACAAGCCACTGAATAAAAAAATTTAAGGTCAGAGGCTGACACCAGGTTTCTTCCTTAATCACTCTCCACCTAATTCTGTGACAGGGTCACCAGTAAGCCCAGGGCACCTCTTGTCTCCACTCCCAAGTAATGGAATCACAGGAGCTCAGCTGTGCCTGCCTTTTCATGTGGGCGCTGGCGGTCAGAACGCAGGTCCTCCTGTTTGCGCAGGAGGCACTTTACAGAGCCAGCTCCCCAGCCCAGCCAAGCAGTTCTTACTGAAGAGAGCAGAAAATGTTATATTGGCTTTACAAGGCTGGCATACCCTTTTTTTTTTTCAAACTTATTTTTCTTTTAAAAAGAGTATATGTGTGTGTGAGTGTGTGCCAAATACACATGGGTGCACATGGAGACCAGAGAAGGACATCAGATCCCTTGGAGCTGGAGTTATAGGTGGTTATGAGTTATCAATATGGGGTGCTACGATCTCAAGTCAGGTCTTCTGGAAGAAGAGCAAGCTTTCTTGATCACTAAGCTATCTCTCCAGCCCCTAAGACTGAACACACAGCAACCTTACAATCTATTCCGCTCTACTCCACTCCTAACTTCCTCAAGAGAAAAGCCATGTGCAAACAGATCTGTGCACAGTGTTCATACATATTTTATTCATAGGAACAAAAGTAGGAACCACTCAAATATCTGAGTAAAAATTAGATAAAGAAGTTATATACCACTTGGCAAGATGTATCAATCTTAGATGAATTAGGGTAAATGAAAGACAGACATAAAATCTAAAATCAAACTGATAAATAGAGGGAGAAAGTCTATGGCCAACACCTAGATTTCATCTAGTGAGATTCATTGAATTGTATACGTAACTGGGTAATGTTATTGTATGTAAATTATATCTCAATGCAGCTGTAAAAAGCAAAATAACTATTATTCCCACTTGCCTACTTTCTAGGGTAACAAGTCTGTCCAGGGGCTCTGCTGCATACAGATCCCTAGACTGTCAGCTTGCTGAGCACCTCTAGTGTGTACATCACACAAGTTCCTGAAAATGGACAGAGCTGAACATATGACTGCTACACCCGAGAAACGAATTTCCTGTCCCTTAACTAAGGCAATGATTGTATTGACCCCCCTCCTCTGATATCTCATCCATCAACTCTCAACACTTTTCTCTCCCATCCTTCCTGCCAATCAAGTCCTAGCTTTTCAACCTCAACTGATCATTTCAGTTCCTGCCTGAGGTAAGTCAGAGGCCTGCTTTGGTTTCAAACACAGCTCAGGGTCTTCATGCAGGACCCTAGGCTCAGTGCTATCCACTTCAGTGAGCATCTGCTCCTCACCCTCCCTGGAGCCCAAAGGTCTTCTCTGTCACTCTGTGGTGCTCTCATCTCACTTTATTGGAGAGAACACCTGCCCGACCTGGAATTATCATGTGCTTTCTTCTGTCCATTTGTAACAGATAGGTCCAATAAGGAAATTTAGTTCTAACCCACTTGATTTTAAGTATTCTTCTATAAGATGTGTATCAATTGAAAATTACATAAAAATAACCTCTGGGAAAGGAAATATTATATTAACTCTTTAAACTATAACTGTTACACAGTAAATACTTCTAAAGCATAGAGCAGACAAGGAGTGCAAATCTGAACTCAAAAGGTGAAAAAGTATTATCAGTTTGGTGGCCCAATATCCAATTCATAGTTTCTTTGCCTTTACTTAGGACTCACTTTCTTATTCCCTTTGGGGCTACTGAGATGGCTCAGTAGGTAAAGGCCCGAGTTGCCAAGACTGATGGCCTGAATTTTATTCCTGGGACCCACACGGTGGAAGGAGAGAACCACCTCCTGCACAATGTGCCATAATCTCCATGGGCATGCATTATCTTGCTCGCCTTCTCTCTCTCTCTCTCTCTCTCTCTCTCTCTCTCTCTCTCTCTCTCTCTCTCTCTCTCTCCCTCCCTCCCTCCCTCCCTCCCTCCCTCCCTCCTTCTGTTACACACACACACATATATCAATGTTAAAAAATGAAAGTGACTTTAATCATTTGGAAAGTTTTCCTTCAAGTGGCATGAGGAATGACTGAGCCTAAACCCTGCAGGAATGAGGGGTCAACCGTACTACCTGGCTCCAACACGAACAATAGTTACATCATCACAAATCTCTGTGATGGGCAGATGCTTCCTTTAGTTTTTACAATCAACTTCCACAGGAAAAAAAAAATAGAATTATGGCTCATAGGTTAGAACATATATAAGTCTTGATAACATAAAAGTCAAGCTAACAAAACTGGAGGGTAGGGAGAAATTTCTTAATATCATCATAGAACAAAAGTAGGAGCTGAAAGACAGTGGCTAAAACCAAATGCATCACCAACAAAACACATGGAAGAGAAGGTTGATTACTCCTGAAGAACTGCCCTGGGTTTAGAAAATGGAGGGAATTTATTTAATGTAAGTCCTTTAGGATAAAGATGTTTTGTTTTGACATGTGTATGACACACACATATATATATAAATGCATACACACATACACACATTTATGGATAAACTTTAAATTAATTTAATTAAATTAATT